CATGTGCCAGAGAGTGGTCATATCTTCCTGATGAACCTGAGACGATGCAACTGCAGTAGAACCAGACAACACAGACCCTTGTAATGCATACAAGGTCCCACGCTTCACGCCGTACCTTCCTCGAACCCTTGCAGACAGACACAACTCCACCTTTTACTTTGAAGCTGAAGCCCTTGCTGTCGAGTAGACTCAAGGAGATCAAATTCTTTGTCATTCGTGGAACATGCCTGACATCATTCACGGTACAGAACGAACAATCATGTGTCCGAACCTTTATGGACCCGATTCCAACAACCTTGCAGACAGCTCCATTAGCCATGACCATGTTACCACCATCTATCTGCTCGTAAGTTGTGAAGCAATCCCTGTTCGGAAACATATGGTATGAGGCTGCAGTATCCAGAAACCACACATCACCACGATGTGCCTTCTCATCTACAGCCAATGCGAGATCGTCTTCAGAACTGTTGTCCACTTCTGCCACAGCAACTGAACCCTGTTTCTTCTGTTGCCCTCTTCTCCTGGGACAGTTGTACTTCCAATGCCCCACTTCCTTACAGTTGTGACAAGCATCACCTGGCTGTGGACCGGGACCCTTGGAATTCTTGTTCGAATTCCCTTTACCAGAATTCTTCTTTCCCTTTCCACCCGTAACAACCAAACACGACACGCTTTCTTTACCGGCAATAAAAGAATCAACAAAATTCTCATATGAACTCGGCAAAGAAACCAGCAGGATTAGGGCAGCATCCTCGTCATCAACTTGAACATCTATATTACGCAGATCCAGCAAAATAGAGTTAAGCTGTTCGAGATGTTCCCTCAAAGGCGTACCTTCTTGCATCCTCAAGCTGAACGACCGTTGCTTGAGATGCAGCTTGTTGGTTAGAGACTTCGTCATATACAGACTCTCCAGTTTCAACCACAAGCCCGGGGCAGTCTTCTCAGCAGCGACTTCAATGATGACGTCGCTGCTACGGATCGGGAAATCACCGGAATCGATAAAGCAAGAATACGAAAGCGAGAATTGAAAAACACAGACACACGATTTACGTGGTTCTCTAACACGATGTGTGTTAGCTACGTCCACGGGCGAGAGAGAGCCAGTTTCACTATATCGAGGAGATTACAGATTACAGAGGAGTATGAGAAGTATTTATAGTGCTTCTCCATGTGGGTCTAAACCTAATCCAATCTGGCAAAGGAAACGGTTACAGACCAGTCCCAGAACCCGAACCCAAATAATATTGAGCCTCTACTACCAGTCGTAGCGGCTGATAGTCCGATTCAAGTCACATCAACAAAATGCTTTTGTGGTGGACAAGAAAATGTTGTCAGTGGTTTGGTGTTTTCTTGCAATCTTAACTGCTAGTATCCTGATTTAGCATCTATGCTGCTAAACCAAGTTTTACCCTTGAGTCTTTCTAAAATATAATACTTTCTAGGTAGTTTATAACTATCCCCAATAGTATTTTCATTTAACTTTTGTAGTTAATGACCATTCGTCGTTTTCCTTGTTTAATTCATTGTTATTTTCTACATAGGATGCAGGTGCACTATGTGGACTTTTGCTTTCTCTAATTATCCCTTTTTCTAAGAGTTCATCCAATTATTTTTGAAATTCTTCTACATTTCTTTGGGTATATTGTATTTTATTAGGTACATTTACTTCCATATAAGAATCTTTTAAGTTTTATTTCTATTAGTTTAATATTTTTATTTATTTTTATTATCTAGAGGATGTTCACTACAGACTTCTTCTAGGACTTCTTCGATTATACCATAACTTATTTGAATATATTCAAGTTTTTTTTAAAGATTCTCTAAAAAAATTTAGAACTTCATTCTTAGTTATAATTCTAGTAGTAATTATTTTTTACTCCTGATGTTTCATTTTTAGTGCCCTTAAGTTAATATGTTTTTTTCTTTGAATGAAAGGTTGATATATTTTAAGAAAATTATTTCTTATAATTATATCTAATTCTCAGTCATGTTGATATGTTGTCTTTGCAGTAAAAAACATATTTTTCTATAATTATGGGTACATAATTTTTAACATCCCGAATTTCATGTATAGATTTATCACCGACCACAATTTTTAATAGTTTACCAAGTTTTTCCCAATTTTTAATGGTCGGTCTTTTAGCAAAATAAAGGGTTGCTCCAGTGTTGATGTATGCTAGATAGTTTCTATTATCAATGGTTATTTTGATGAATGTTGCATTAGGATTTCCTTTTGTTAGTTCCTTATTCGGACTCATCGGAGTATGATTCTGAATTAGTATAAAATTCTATTATCTCTATATCTGGTTCTGAGAAATCTAATTCTTCAATTGGTTCAAAACCATGATCATATGCTATTCTTAGTGCTTTGTGTTTTTTGTTATTATTTCGTTTTGGACACTTATTAGCGTAGTGGCCCTCTTCATTGCAAAGCCAACATCTACAATTTTGTTTCCTTTAGGGCAGTATTCCTTCTACTTAATTTTTTATTTGAATTGCTTTCTGTTTCTGAAATACCGTTGAGGCATTCTAAATTTGTTTTCTTGGCATTTTTTGTAAGGAATCCTTCTCCATTTTTGTTTTTTGAATTTTCTCTTCTTGATTCTTTTATCATTACAACCATATTTTCCTACCTGGTTTATTGTTTGGGAGCAACATAATCATATTCTAGCTTCTTTTTTAATTTTTTCTTCGTTACAAGCTTATTTATGCCATTCATGTACGGTTGGTATCATGCCTCCTAGAGTATTAGGTATTTCTTCTCTGTCTAAAGCTTCTTCAAAAGCTCTTTCTACCTTAATTTCTACATTAGATGGAAGTTTTGCATAGAGTAATTTATCTAGTTCTTTTCTCATTTGAGTATCACGTGATAATAATGTTGTCTAAATTCACAAATAAATGGTTCTAAATAGCACATATTGCAGATTCGTAAATTCGTTAAATGCTAGATTGCCTGTGCACTAAAGGTAGTATATGTTTTAGTTTCTTGTGGAAATCTTTCTAGGAATTCGAATGTTATTGCTTGAATTACTTTTTCGTGAGTTTTTGACTAGTTCCAACTGCAACATCTCGATGACGGCCAAGTATAACCGCCGACCGGGTGTAGCATAGGGCAAGCAAGCAATCATAATTTATCGTACCACGGGAATCTAGGCTTGGCCTACTTCAGGTTTAGGGTTCGTTATCTAGCCAACCTTGGATAGTAATTAAGAGAATTAAACTAACTAACCTAGCTATTTACAAGTTTTGGGAGCTCTCTTGGTTGAATTGTCCTAGGTCCGTCCTTTGGATCGATGTTGGGTATCCTCCTAGCTCAATCGACTCAAATACTCTACCGTTAATTAGGAGATGGACTCCCACGGGAATGAACTAGAACGACGAATCAATGAATGGGGTATGCTCTATCCAACCTAGGGCAACCCTATATCGTAGGAGATTGATGGAATTGACTCCATCGGGGATTACCTATACGATATAGGAAGAGGAGTGACCCAAATATGCCAATAATGGGCTCAAAGGGGATTTTCTCCCTCCTAGGACAAAAGATCAAAACATGAAAATGGAAACCCAACTCATGCAACTCATGAAAACATCAATCAATTAAGTAAAATCATCAATCAAACATCGAATTTGTCACATACATCAACAACAAACCAAAACCTAGACCTAGGGTTCTTAAACCCAAGAGAAGAGGGTGGGTTTCTAGAAAGAGAAGAGAGAGATTACAAACAAAGCACAAGATCATCATCTTCTTCTTCTTCTTCTTCTTCTTCAAGACTTGATTCCTTGCTTTCAAACTTGATCAATGCCTTCAAATAAGCTCCAAGATCATTCAAGAACTCACTCACTCTCTCTAGAACTCTCCTTTGGTGTTTTGGGTCGAAACCCTAGAGAAAGAAACCAATTTCTTTGTGATGTATGAGTGTGGTATTTTACTCCATCCTCCCTCCTTACGAGTAGTGTAAGAGAATTGTCCATTAAATTTTTTTTCATAATTACGTTTTTTAGATGTTTCCGCTTCTTTTGTTTTTACATAATTTGTATAAGGATTTTCATCGTTGCTATAATCCAAGACTATTTTTTCATTTCAATATTTTCTTCTGGTTCTGAATCTATGCATATAGCTGCTAATAAATCATTTAGTTTATTAATTTGTTCATCAATGGATCTCATAAAAGATTGTAGGGTGCTACAATTGTATGTGAATTGGGTATATTTAATTTATTATTTCTGAAATATTCTTCTAAGTCTTTAATTGTAACACATCTTTTATTATCTAATTTTACTGTTATTTCTTGAAGTTTAATTATTATTATCTTTAGATCTATTCCTGGTAAAATAATAGCGTTAGCATTTTCACTAGATTGGACTACCATTTTATTTCATCTCGTATATTTGTTATAATGTTATTAACCATATCTTTTGCTAATTCTAAATTAGAGTATAATTTTTTTATTTTTCTTTACATTAACATTCTAAATTTATCCTTAAATATTTATTATTTTCTTCAATTATATTTTCACATATTTCTGATAGTCATCTGCTATTTTTTTTTAAAAATTATTTTATTTGAAAGGTTTTCTGTTGTCATATTGGATTCATCAATTTGTAATGTTTTCCTTTTTTTTCTTTATTAAACTTTTTTGTCTTTTTCCAATAGGTGTTGTGTCACCCAACGTGACAAGAGTTTTTTTCCTCTCTTGTTTTCTCATAGCTACCCATAACTTGTGAAATAATTTTTTTACATGAAAATGAAATGACAAGTGAACACATTTCGCCTCCCTTATATGACGTATGGATAAGGAAGGCGAGAAACGTTTCTCATGGTGTATCCGTCCCGAGAAGAACTTCACTGATCAGATGATACGTGTCACAGGGTATTTAATTTGGCGTTTTGCCCTGCCTCCAATACAGGGCGCCGCGTAATCAATGTCGCCAGTAGAGCGGTGGCGATGATATAGATATTGTAACCAAATTAGAGTCTTAAGACTTGAGGAAACAGATGAAGTCTTATCAATTATCATTGAGTGTCCTATTTCCTCTGCTTTTCCATTCTGGCCCGGAGACCTAAATTTCAACAGGGAACAGAGTTCTACTTCTGCAGCGAAACCCCCAGGGAAAAGAAAGAGACGTAAAAAATGAGCTACCACCAACATATCGCTCATGAATCTTACCAGCAACCAGGCAAGTTAACCCTTCAATTTTTCTTTAATTTCCCCCCTTTGTTTAACGGTGACGGTTGATTGATCGAGTTATGATGAAGATCTGTGATGTCTGTCGCCAGGGCCGCCGCCTCCGTATCCACAAAATGACCCCTTTCCCGGTCCGCCGCCTCCGTCGGTGTACCCACAAACTGATTCCTTCCCCGGCCCGCCGCCGCTGCCGCCCCAACGCGGGTATCAACGCTACTTCGATGACAGCCGGCCGTCTTTAGCGCCGCCGTTCCCACACGCTGCCCCGGCGTGGCATCAAGACCACTACCGGCGCTACGATGACTTGGGTTGCTTCTCCTGTATCAGGGCATGGTACGTTAGTTTTATGCAACTGTGTTTCAGGTCGTGTGTGGGAAAGGAAGTTATATGATTGAAGCGGTTTGTTTGTTTTTTTTTTTTTTTGGGCACTGCAGCTTGGCTATGCTTTGTTGCTGCTGCTTGTTGGAGCAGTGCTGCCCTTGATGGAACCAAGATGTGCGAGCTCGGAATTGCAGCAGGTTGTATGGTCGTTCTCACTTCACTAGTTTGATAGTTCGGAAGGCTTTGTGGCTTTTGGTGTTTGCTCAAACTGGATTCGTTGGACTTGTCATCTTTATCAAATTGCAATCAGAAAATTGATTCTGTTCAAATTCAATAAGGACTAAAAAATGATAGAATAATTTAATAAATCTTTGTCTGGATGCTTGATTGGCTACAACACTAACCAGGTGGTGGCTTTTGCTCATAAATGGTAGTATAGAAGCGGTAAGCGGTATCTAAACCAGCATTCTTGTTCGTGCTGGTCCATAATCTAACCAGGTTCCTGGGCCATTAACTAGTCACGTCTGCTTATTAGGCATCCTCCATTGTCTTAATAAATTGAGGACAACCTCTTTGCATTAGAACTTAAGAACTATTAGTGAATGAGACATTTTGTAATGAAAGATAATTTCGAGTTCAATTGGCTAGTTGAAATCGTAGTGTTCTTGGAAAATTCTCTTGGAAATATCGAGACCGATTTTCCACTACCACTCTCATAAAGTGCAGACTGTTAGAGACCTTTGATATCATATTGTAACAACTTCCCCGCTTGGGTAGAAACTTTTACCAAAATCTTCTTAGAAATGAATGCATATTAGATACTTCGAATAATAACAGGAATGCAAGGTGTTTTTTTTTTCAAAAGATATCATATATTGATTCAAAAAAAATAGTTAGTTACATCCTGGAAACCAGCCAGGCTTGGAAATCAAAGAAGCAACATACAGCCGGATACAAAGAAAGGGCTTTCCTAGCTACCGAGTGAGCTACCCTATTGTTCTCCCGACCTATGAATCGCACACTAAACTCCGGATGGGCGCAAAAATAAAGACTTATCTCTTCCAGAACAACACCCAACCGGTTATCCTTTGTGTCAGCTTGATTAATTTTATCAATAATCATTTTCGCATCGCCCTCAAACCGGAACGCCGACAAGCCACACTCCAAACACCAAATAATAGCCTCCCGAAGCACAAGCAATTCCACCACTGTTGGTTCGTCAATTTGAGGAAAATGAACCCCCTTTGCCAACAGGAGCGTCCTCGCCTGATCAAGAATGATCATCCCACAAGCCGAATGCGACCCACTCCTAGTGGCAACATCCCACATGCAAATCAATCGCGAATCACTCACATGAATCACTGGCTGTGCCAACGGAAAAGACACCCTAGGTGTCTGGTCAATCGGCAAGCCCACCCATTCCTCATACTGTAGGTGAAATTGACGCATTAGCGTAGGGATCGCAAACTGTTTGCCTTCAAAGACAACCCAGTTACGAGATCGCCAGATCCGCAAAAGGATGGTAACCACAGCCATAAACAACGCTGGTTGATGGGTCAGCGCCAGCAGCCTTTTGAGAAATAATGGAAAGGTGTGTCGAGGCAAACCCTCCCCCAAGTACTCCAGCCCTGAATATCCTAGAGAGCCCGCGCAACCGGGCAATAAAGAACCAGATGTTCCATCGTCTCCAGACTATCCCAGCATACCGGACATCGGGGGAGCACAAGGACCTTTTTTTCAATGAGCGACTCAGTAGTTGGTAGAGCCCGATTAAAAATTTGCCAGACAAAGACCTTCAGCTTCGGAGGGATCTTAGCCTCCCACAACCGGATCCAGCTGGGCCTATCCATCCAACTCACTGAGGACCGCCACGCACCCCTCCTCCTGTCCAACTCAACGGCCAAATGGTAAGCTGATTTTACCGAGAAAACCCCATCTATTGTGTTATGCCAGATAAGTTTATCAGCCACATTCTGCCGCGGGAGAGGAATAGCCTTAATGGCACGGCAGGTAGATGGGTCAAACCATTGGCTAAGCTTATCATAAGACCAACGCCCTTCCCCTTGACAAATAACATCCACCACCGAGGGGTCACCTTAGTCAGGCAAGATCCATGGATTATAGCGAGGGGGATCCAGCTGAAGCCCATGAATCAAGTTAGAATGGGGAAGAGAGGCCAGACGGTCATCGCCGATCTGCCAACGTAAACCCATCTCCAATAACTAGCACCCAAACAGGATACTCTGCCACCCCCAAGAAGGGCGTGATCGAGCCGTCGCGCCCATGAATGTTCCTTGCGGGAATTATTTCCCTTTATACACCTGGGCAAGGAGGGATTGAGGTTCATTGAGGATACGCCAGCCAATTTTGGCTAAAAGAGATTGATTAAAATGTTCAAACCGGCGAAGTCCAATCCCCCATCATGTTTACTCCTGCATATATTGTGCCAGGACACCCACCTAACCTTGGGATGAGCCTCATCAACACCCCACCAGAATCGGGCCACATGTCTATCCAAAAGTCGACAGAGAGATAGGGGGTCACCGGAAACACGACATAACATGCAGGGGTAGAGCCAATGCTATAGACTTAATCAATGTTTCCTTAGCCGCCCAGGACAATGTCCTTTGCTTCCACCCCTGCAGTTGCTCTAATAATTTCTCCTCCAAATATTTGAACGTAGCCATTTTGAATTGGGCAATCAGCGTGGGTAGCCCAGATATTTATCATGGACCCCCACTGCACCAACCCCTAGAATCGTGGCCAAGAACTCCTGATCTGGTAGGGCAATATTTTTGCTAAAGCAAACCGCAGATTTCTCAAGATTGACCCATTGGCCACTCAGCTCCTCATATTCGTTTAGAACCTCAATTAAATTCTCGCACTTCTGAAGAGAACCTCATAAGAATAAATAAGAATCATTAGCAAAGAACAAATGAGAGATTCTTGGAGCACGTGGAGCCACTTTTATCCCCTCCAGCTTCTTTTCCGAGATTGCTTTTAGGAGGAGAGCCGCAAACCCCTCCGTGTAGAGCACAAATAAGAGAGGCCATAGCAGATCCCTTTGTCGGAGCCACCGAGAAGAAGTGAAATAACCCAAGGGGTACCATTCATTAGCACAAAAAATGACGATGATCGAAGACATTCATGTATCCATCCTTGCCAGATATAGTTAAAACCAATTTTATCCAAAACCGCCAGAAGGAAGGGCCATCAACTCTATCATAGGCCTTTTCCATGTCAACCTTTAGAGCCATGTATCCCTTCTTCCCCTGCTTTTTTATTTTTAGATAATGCATTAACTCATGTCCTAGAAGGATGGTGTCAATAATCTGTCGGTCCTTAATAAACGCATTCTGACCCTTAGAGATGATCTGAGGCAGCAGACCTGCCAGCCGTTCCGCCATGATTTTGGTTATCACTTTATAAACAAACTAACATGGGCTGATCGGACGCAGCTATCTGATTGTTTCCACAGAATCCACTTTCGGAATCAAAGTGAGCCATATATGGTTAAAACTCCGCAGCATCCGGCTAGTTGTAAAGAAAGAGCATACTGCTTCAATAACCGAAGTGCCCACAATATCTCAGAATTCTTTGAAGAATTTTCCTGTGAAGCCATAAGATCTCGGGGCCTGCTTTGACCCTATTGAAAAGACCGTTTTTCGAACCTCACTAGGCAATACCTTCGTCATCAACTGCGCATTCATCTGCAGAGTAACACTACGAGCAATGGGAAGATGCGCCACCCTATCAGTCATATTAGGAACTTGGGTCTCCGAGGTAAACAGGGTCCGCTAGAAGTCAGTAACAATCGAAGCTTTACCACTTTCCTCAGTGACCCATTCCCCCTCATCATTGTGGAGCCCAGAAACAAAATTCATTTTCCGTCGAGTGTGGGACCGTACGGAAATAGGCAGAATTTTGATGTCCTTTTTTTAACCATCGAACCCTGGATTTTTGCTGCCAGTATATCTCCTCTGCTTCCAATTGACAGGTCAGCTCCGTTTCCAAGGTCCTAATCACATCCCAGTCCACTCGCTGGCTCGATTTTATCCGGTCAATCTCCGTCCAGAGAGTCTTGATATTCCGCTATGAATTCGTAGTGCCCGCCCTGCTCCACTCATAAAGCAGATACCGAAGTTTCTTCAGGCGCTCCCAAAGTCTAAACATTGGGGTACCTTGGATCTCCTCCTGTCAGACATATTGGACCATAGCCTTTACCTCTGGATTATCCGCACATCGGGCATCAAACCGGAACAGAGGTCGACTACTACGAGTATACAGTTTATCTTCCAAGAGAAGGGCACGATGATCCGATCCCTGGTCCATAAAGTGTTTGACCAGAGTCTCCGGATAAGTATCAATCGAGGACTGGGAACAAAGCGCTCTATCCAGACATTCACAAATTCACGCTGCACCCATACGCTTGTTCGTCCAAGTGAATTGATCCCCTTGGTAGCCAGGGTCATGGAGCCCCAAATCAAGAACAAAGTCTCGGAGACTACTGGCTTGAGCCGCATTCCATGCCCGACCCCCATCTTTTTCTCCCTCATGGAGAGTGGTGTTGAAATCACCTATGATCACATAAGGGTGATTGATATTCGCGCAAACGTCTCGAAGCTGAGCCAATTGGGTCGCTCGGAGAGCAACATTATAACTAATGTAAACAAAGATCACCATATAAGAAAAATCTCCTTCATTAATTTGCGAACAAATATAGAAATTGGAATGAAAAAACACCGAAGTGTCAACCCTGGGGGACCAAGCAACTACTAAACCACCTGATGTATCGACTGCATCTACAAAGAAACAATGAGAAAGATCAAAAACTAAACCCCACATACGATGGGACACTATTCGCCGGCTCGATCGTGTTTCAGAAAAAAACACGAGATCCGGTTTATTAGATCGAACAAGCTCTACAGCAGTTTGGAAAGTGAGGGATGGCCCAAGTCCTCTCACATTCCAGGCCAGTATCCTCATTTATCGGTTGTGGGTCACTCGAGGCTGGCTTCCTCCACCTTCTCCAAAACATCAGCTGACTCCACAAATTGCTTCTTCGGGGTAGGCGGATCACCCACGTCCCCATCCACCTCATCAAACACGCGCTTCCGATTCTCCACATTTGGGTCCATCATATTAGACCCATATTCATTGAGGTTCGAGCGTGGCCCCTTGCAAGACACACCCTCCTCCCGAGCACCTACTAGCCCTGCTTCAAAAGCCTCAACCACTTGGTGAACTCGCCTGGTTAAGATCTGGCAAGTTTCTCCAGAGGCACCAACTGATGACCTTTGCTTGACCTCAAAAGTTTAATGATCATCAGTCGATTGAGCATCATCCGATTCAGAGGTATGCTGATGATCCTCATAGATAGGACCATCCATAGGAGCACCAGTCTGCTTATCCTTCATTTCCATCGGAGTACCAGATGGAGTATATCCCCCAGCATGGTTGGATAAAGTCAGTGGGCATCCAGCTCCTCTTTTCTTTAGGCGAGGGCGAACCCGAGGCACTGAATTCCCTGTATGGGCTGTGACCCTGGTAGGTAATCGAGGATCCTCCATGGGTTTATGGAAGAGCTCGTCAGAAGGACCAAAAGCCGCACGAGACTGCATTGATTGCCTGGTCT